ACAACAACCGTGGATTCATTAGCGTTCAGCTGATCGGCGTAATCCTGAAGGTCCAGCCTGGCGAGTTCCTAGGCTCCCATTTCCTTACGGTAATATTGGATACCTTTCTGTTTACACATCTCTTGCACTCTGGAGTAGTGTAGAGACTGGTAGAAGTCCAAGCGTAGCATTATGTAGGCTGCAAGGCCCCCATTATCGGCTTCTTCTTCATCTTCAATGCAGGTAGCATTCTGCACCAAGTCCACGTCATCTCTTTCCGAGAGCTCATACTTAGCAAGCTCTGGCTCAACGACTTTCCCCTTGCCTTTTTCTTCCCCTAACCCTTGCATTAGCGCAGCCAGCATCTTCTTAATATCACCTAGCTTGCTGCTCCCTTCCATCTTAGCTTGAAGATTTTGCTTGACTTCGGCTTGCCCTTCTTGTTCTGATGACACGTCAATCCGTTTCGATCTTGATTTTCCCTTAGCACTACCACGTGACCGAGTCTTAACCCGATTCGCGGATGGTGAGTTGATCACCGGTGTACACCCCCCCCCTCCTCCCTTACGCTTCTCGTTGCTTGTGGAGTCCGTACTAACCTTCTCCGAACGAGCTTTCTCTCTCCAAAGAAGTCGTTCCAACTCTTCCTTCTCATCCGATGTCAATTTTGACTCCTTGGCTACCGCTTCCAGCTTCTCGTTGATCAACTTCAACAAATCCCCCAGCGTGGAGGTAACCCCCGCTTTCATTTCGTCGGTTTTATCCGAGTTCTCACTCCTCCCACCAGTGCGATGCTCACTTCGGCTGCTATCACATGATAGCTCCGTAATGGGAGCTCCCCCTCTCCTTGAAGTCGCAATCTTCTTCTTTACTTCGTCTAGAGCTTTATCCATCTTGATACCTTCCAGGATATCCATATACTCCTTCGTGAAGTAAGCCCGGTTGCCCGAGTCGGGGAACGTATTCACGGCAGGTCCCTTTGCTTCGTGATTGGACGAGCCGCTCCCCTGATTCGTATGCGGGGAGGCTTGCTGATTCGCTTACGGCACCGTCGGCATCTGCGACACATTCCATTGTGGGATCGAAGGCCACTGCCCCATGCCATGCCATGGCGACATTGGCCATTGGCCTTGTGGTGGAGCTTGGAATTGAGCTGGCATGGTCGGCGGAATCGCCGGTGGTACGCTAAACTGTTGTGGGAACAAACCCGGAGGCGGTGGATTCGTTGCAGGGTTAAACTGCGCAGGTCCAGTCGACGCGAATCCCCCACTGGTATTCGGAGTATACCCTTGATTGCTACTCCCTACATCCAATAGCGACCGCAGTTCGACCACCGACCTTTCCTACCCCCTCCTCTCTTTCCTCGCCCCCTCCCGTACATTCGCCCAACTGCGCAGGTCAGGAGAATACCAACACTTATCCCAACAAGTATGGTCCGGCCGCAATATTCGCCTGGCTTGTAAATCAGCCAGTTGTTGCACCTTGCAATCAGCACCATGTGCCCGCACACCGTCTTATAGCAGTAAACACCATGGCAACGACCCTTGGAGAAGTGCGCTAATGACTAACGCTCCACCAATGGAACCAACCGAGGGCGCACATCACTCGATTGTTCCCTTCTAGATCCAGGAGAACACCACGATGCTACGCTCAATGCCCCCACCAACATTACTAATCAGTCCAAAGATCACCCCCAGTTACTCCGGAGCGGCTTACAACGAGTACAGGGGCAAAGATACGATAAACTTTAAAATTACCAACGCAGCTCCCTCAATGGGAAAGCATATGAACGACAACTCACCGTGGTAAACTCACAAAGTACCACAAGGTACGAACAGTACAGGAATAATAAGATCATACTCAAGCATTAAAATTGAATACAAATATACGAAACATATGCAGCCCAGTCACGCACAACCCTCAACCATGTGAAAGTTGGCACCTCATTCTCGTTCCCAAGCCACGACAAGGTCGAAAACGAGGCTCTGCACAATGAGACAATACAATGGATACATAATAAGAAGAAGATGATTTGAGCTTTAATATCTTGACGCCATCACCTCCTTCCCGGCAACACCTCAACCTACACTGTTGAGGAATCTCAATCCTTCCACTCATACGTCACTCAGATTGAGGTCAATTCCTACGCTACTACTCATTTAAATAGTATCTATTTGCTCGGCTTCCGCATAATGGAACGCAAAGTACATTGGACTCACCCTGGGTAACTTTCCATTCCCGTCGGCGTGTCTTCCTGCGCTTCTGCAGGTCATATTTACCCATACATGCCCCCTATTCACAATATTGGGGCTCGGTACATTTACTCGTGAAAAAATCCTACGTACGGGTTAAGCGTGGGCCTAGCCACCACGCTTACCACATATATTCTCGCCCATTATTACCAAACTTAATTGGGCCTATTTATTTATCTAGATACACTCACTGTCTTTCTCAACCAAGCTTAGTGCCTTTTTTTACGACAAGCAAAAGAGAGAGAAAAGAAAAGATAAAAGAAAATAATAGAACAAAAAAGAAAAGAAAAGAAAAGAAAAGAAAACCCCAATAGGCCTTCAGGCTCCGCTGGCAAACCGGTCGTCGGTAGTGACCGACGGCTGTATGTAGGACACCTCAGCGCGATCGTTCAGCACAGTCCCATACCAAACGAGTTTTTTTGTCGTGTATCGGCGATACAGTCCTGCACCTTCCGGCGATCCTCTGCCGAAGCCTCAAATCATGCGTAGGAGATCGAGCATCTTAGCCAAGAAGAGCGTATTTACTCGGCGCTGCAGCGAATGTAACCTGGCCAACATGATCTTACCTGGGTAATCCGATTTCTCCAACTCTTTTGCGAGGGACAAAATGCCCCAGCAGGTGAGTCCATCGTTGTTGCAGTTTTCCGAGATCCTGAGGACCGTATTAGCAATGGTGGAGTATTTCGCTGCAGTAGGCCCGAACTATCAGAAGGATTTGTAGGTCTTAAACCCCAACGCCGATTCTGCCCAGATAGTCTGTGCATTTTTGAATTTGTGTGCCATCAACATCACACCTTGTTCCTCATAAATTAAAATCCGAGTCTCCAAAAAGTCAAGAATCCTCACCCCAGGGTCCGTTCGTTCTAAAATTAGCCCGTCACGGTAGATCTTGGTGACTGAATCAAGCAGCATCTCTGCCTTATTTCTACTATCTCGGTCGTTACTTCGAAAAAAACCCCAAATCAACAGGTCATCAATGTATCTCTTCCCAGAAATCATTCTGCCATCAGTCCCAAGTGACCGATTAAAACACCATTCAGAATACATGCACATAGCACATGCCAACGGAGGGCTTGCATGGCCTCCCATCGGAATACCTTTTTTTTGTCTCAAGATGGTATTTGAGACGAGAAAAAAGTTGTTATCTAAAGAAAACTTCGTGAGAGAAATCACATCACACAGGCGGATGGATTTCCAGCCGGATTCGCCGTGGGATTTACCAAAACAGGCGGTCCGTTTCTTTGGATTAATCCTGAAACATTTGATCCCTTTCTGATGGAACAACCCAACCACCCACTCAAATGCCTTCTGAATCACATCGTGAGGCAGTTGCGAAAACATTTCTTTAATATCGTAAGAACGTGCCACCACACCCAATTCCTCATCCTTATATTTCTGGTCAATAGTACACACAGCATCTTTCACGCCCCTTAGCGACCGGAAATTAAAATGCGGGACATCAGTTTTCTTAATCAGTTTGTTCAGGATAATCGACAGTGCCCTAGATGCCGCTCTAAAAGGACTAAGGTAAGAGGGGACAATCGGCCTCCTCTTATTTTTGTCCTTTTGTTTTGGCATTATGTAGGCATGTTGCAGTTCCCCCTTCCGGTCCCATGGAGCGAAACGATCCAACAAGTCTTCCTTATACTCCTGCTTCATACGATTCAGGATCGCTTTCTTGTCGTCCTCAATTCTCTCGTAGTTATCGTTCTTCAAGAAGGTCTTGTCTAATCCGTCGGCGTACCGTTTCGGGCATTCAATCCATGTCTCATTCCGATTCATGTCTAGCGGGGACAGGACCAGCCCGGAGAAAGATTGCTTTAGCCCCTGGACATATTTGTTGAGGACACACTGTGGATCCCTTGCTACACCTTTCCTTGAGACTTTCAGCATGTCGATATGGAATAATCTGTCCCCCAGTCCCTTGCCTCTGAGACAATCAAGTGCTTCATTTCAGGCCGAGTTAATCATCCTTCTGTTGTCCATTATTCCCGGAAAGGGAATATTTTTCGCATTGCTCACTGATGTTGACCGAGACATCCCCGTCAATCCTAGGCAAGTCAAAGTCAGCGCAAAAACATTCAAGGTTGCTTTCTTGCGCAAATAGCTTTTGGTAATAGAGGAGATCTCCCACCGATTTTGCTTTGAGCCAAACGGTTTTCGTTCTCCTTGCATACAGATTAGCTAGTGAGTCTGGTTGGACACACTCTACAATCCAACTTTTTACCTCTTTTTCGACTTTCCCTTTGTTAACCGTTGTACAAAACGACATTTTAATGACAATGTTCACCCGAGGGTTAATTCCAAACTTCTTCTTGAACACATTGGTAAGTATCCCCCGAATAATCTGTCGGCCCCTCCTTTGATTGATTGTCTTAACCGCATTGTTCAGGTGAATCATTTCCTCCATGTCTTTCTTCCAGAGATCGCGACGTTTCCAGGGAGCTCTCAGCAGTGCGATCAATTCAGCCTTCTTTAGATTTGTTTTCGTCACAGTGAGTAATAGCTGCAGAATCCTCTATACCCCTCCCAGCTAAATCTCAGTCTTTCATCCTTGAGGAGGAGCTTGGATCCCCCAATTTCAATTTTGGTGTAACCAAACAATAGAGCAATCAGACGCCACGCTTTAAGCCAGCGACCACCAGGATTATTGGTCATAACAACATCTTTCTTAATTTTGCCCTTCATCAAGGATTATTGGTCAAAACAAATTTGGATCGTGCACAGAGTTAGTTGCAACACAGTTAAACAGCAGGGGTTCCGTGACATTAGCAATATTCTTAACAACTCTTTTCCAGTTGCCTCGCGGCTTAAGAGTGCTGGTTTTTTCGTGCTTCTCCGCGGCATTCAGCCCAGGGTTGTACGCTTTGATAACATCCTATTCTACCTCGTTAATAACCACCTCATCCCCGAACCGGATCGGAATCGGAGCATAGAAGTCAATACCGATTTTTCTCAGCCAGTTATGAACCTTCTGCTTACTGTCTTTTTTAACCGCCCTACGATGTTCCGCCCATCTTTCCTTGAGGGTCCGTGAGGTTTTTCCAACATCGATAGGACTGTGACTAAGCGATAGGAGGACATAGACACATTTATCCCCTTTAAGTAATCTATCCCAGTCCCGTTTGTCGAATCTTAGCCAGAAATGGACATATGTCTTGCCCCACTTAATATCCCCCCTAAGGCAAGCAACGAGGATTTTCAGCGCATGAACTTGTTCCAGTAGCGTAGCTACTTCCTGCCCTACACACTGCTTAAGAGACCGAATACATTCGACTGCACGCCTAAGCGATCTCAAGCTGCCGAGACTCAGTTTCCCCCGACTGTATCTTTGTCGGCAACGTCACCTCTGTCTATTCGGCTCGTCTCGTTCTTCTTCGAATTTCCGACAACAACCGTGGATTCATCAGCATTCAGCTGATCGAAGTAATCTTGAAGGTCCAGCCTGGCGAGTTCCCAGGCTCCCATTTCCTTACGGTAATACTGGATACCTTTCTGTTTACACATCTCTTGCACTCTGGAGTAGTGCAGAGACTGGTAGAAGTCCAAGCGTATCATTATGTAGGCTGCAAGGCCCCCATCATCGGCTTCTTCTTCATCTTCARTGCAGGTAGCATTCTGCACSAAGTCCACGTCRTCTCTTTCCGAGRGCKCATACTTAGCARGCTCTGGCTCAACG